ACGGATCACTTTCTTGAGTGTGGAATAAGAAGTCTGCGCTGGGTTCTACTTCTATTGCTTTCTGACCATTTTCCCAAAACATTGGAGTTTGCTGTTCTTGAGGGGGTAGCGGCTTGGCAGATCCCCGGCAGGCAGATAGGAAAGAGGGTCACCCAGAGATTACGAAGATGGGACATTTCTACCTTCATCTTCAGCCTCCTGAACTGAGAGAAAGGCCTGCCGGGCTTTTTTTTTTTTTTCCTTCCTGTCAGTGGGGCTCTACTTCTACCTAACCCTATTCTGTTGGTAAAACATGTTCACATTTATCTCATGCTGTTTGTCTATCAACTCCCTACCCACAACACACAAACTTTTAGTTGTTGTTTGTTTCAACTGACCAACTCAAAATTAGGGAAGAAGTCTTATACCTCTAAAAAACACTTAACTCACTAGTCCCTCCAAGACAAAGGGGATTTTAGTTTACTCTCAGCTCTTCATAGAGTGTTTCTTTCTGCCTTTGTGCCTGCCGTCTTTACCCTACCACACTGTCTGTGTCTGTGTGTGTGTGTGTGTGTGTGTGTGTGTGTACTATTCTGCTTCTTTACTTACAATAAAGTTTTTTAATCTGTTGCTGTCCACTGTCTTTGAGATTTATATTTCCTTGTCTTTTAATCGTTTAACTGGCAGAGCAAATGAACTGGATCAAGATCTCTAGACGATGTCAATTTGGCTGGGCTAGCTGCCAGCAAACCCCAGGAATCTTTACGTTTCCAACTCCCCAGTGCTGGCATTACTGGCACAAATTGCCATGCACAGCTTTCTTAATGTGGGTTCTGGTGGATCAAGTTCTGACCCTCATGCTTGTGTGGCCTGCACGTCACCTAGACACATCCCAGGAGGTCACAATTCTCAAGCTGACCAACCAGGTTTAAGGGTATCAAAATTTATTTCATGCAGTTACTTCTCAGCTGCAGTACGACAGGCTGTATAATTGTGCAGTTTCCCAGGTCAGGATATGAACATAGCTTTTGAGAATGGAAGTGCATACATCTTCTTTGTGGTAACAGGAACACCAACAATAGTCTGAGAGAGAGAGAGAGAGAGAGAGAGAGAGAGAGAGAGAGAGAGAGAGAGAGAGAGAGAGAGAGAGAGAGAGAGAGATGGGCACAGTGGCTCCCTCTGAACTGTAATCTGAACACTGGAAATTAGGGCAGGAGATCACAAAGTTAAGGTCAGCCTAGGCTATTAAACAAGACCTTGGTTCAAAAAATTAAAACTAAATCCAATAAAAATATAAACAAAGGTAATCCTAAAGAATGGTGTGTGTGTGTGTGTGTTATGTAGTGTATAGTTATATAGTTTTCTTGGGTGCTGGAAGATGGTTCCAGGATTAAATTCCTTGCTTTGTAGTGTGAGGACTGTAATTTAGATCCCCAGAGCCCAAGAAAATGCTTGTAATTGTAATAGTCAGCCTATACTTTCAGAGCTCAGCAGGTGGAGAGGGGATCCCTAACTACCTGACTGACAGACTGGCTGAATTAGTAAGCTCTGCTGTCAACTGGGAGGCCCAGCTTCAGTGAATAAGGTGAATTGAGGGAAACTTGCAATGTCAATCTTGGGTAGCCACATGCATGCACACCTGTGTACACACAAACACGTGAACATTTATACAAACACAGGTGTATATCATACAAATATACTCAAGGGGGAAAAATCCCTCAGCTTCTAAGTCTGAATGGAACATGGATATTTCATGAGATTATGGCATTTTTGTCTGGATATTTCTGTCTAGAGTCCTGCCATAAACTTATAGACAAACAGAAAGAAGACAAAGCAAGCTGCCCTTGGAAATTCTAGGTTTCAAGTCTGATTGTATCTAATATGAGTTTTGGAATTTCTCATATCAAGTATAAGACAATTTATTTTGGCTGCTTCTGTTTAGCTTGAAACAAATTCTGAAACAAAAGTCTTCAAAGTAATCGAGAAACTCAGTGTGCTGAAAAGCCAACTATCCACTATCACAAGCAAAGAAACTCACAGGAAGCTGTACATCCCAAGTGTTCCTTTCTCAACTATTTTAAGTAGCATCTTTGTCAGTGGTTATGTGAAGAGCTTGATAACATGTGGGAAGTCTGACAGGTGGGTTCTCTGCCAAACTATCACAGCCAATCACAGTGGGCACACAGCCTCTGAGTCACAGAAGGTCCAGCTAGGCCATGTTAACAATTTCTTACCAGGTATGAGATTGTTTCAGTAACCAGGAGGTCAGCATGTTCCCATCACCATGATGGTGGCCTCAGAAACAATGCAGTTGAAGTTCATCCAGGTAATTAAAAACCCACAGATTTCACAGAGCTCGTGTGAGCATTTATGAATTCCAACTCTCCCCATAGAAGCAGACTATGTCAGTCAAAAGCTAAATTTAAATCTGTTCACAGGAAGAAGTAATAAAGCCTTGAAACTGCTGTGTCATGGTTAAGGGAAAACACTACAATCCCTGAAGAGGCCAGAGCACACACTGTGGAAGAAACCACTAATGCTGTGGACCAAAGTTTTCATGGCAACTCTCCAGTACCTACCATAAGATGACCAGATTACTGTGACAAGTTGCTAAGGGACCCAACCCAATGAGCTTTCCGTTTACTCAGCTGAAGGATGGAAGATAAAGATAACATTTGTGCTAGTCTCTAGTACTGTCTGCACTACGTTCCGTGCCCCATTTCCGAAGACCAAACATCCTAGCGAACATGCATTATAAGCTTGCTTTGAAAAGAGAGGTACCAGGAATATCTCTAGTCACAATCATATCCATATACCTATTTTAACCCTTAGAACCTTCACAATCTAAGGCAGTTTTTAACTAATTCATCTGGAAGCCTAAAGGAAAATATTCTCCTATAAATTACATAAATTGAACATCAAGCAGGTAGTGAGTGGGGTTGGAATTCCAAGCAGGGTGGAGTGAAGACCCACAATTGAACCTTCCCCACTGAACTTCAGACACCACACTCAATACAGACTGCATCCTGGATTGGATCAGTAGGGTTTCCTCTACACCAAGCAATTCTGCCACACCAACTGGATCCACTCAGGTCCACTTCCATGCACTCTTTTTATGGAAATGGCATAAAGTCAGACCTCTCACACTTGGATAGTAACACCTCAGGTTGTCACTCATGCTACAAACCCTTTCGCATACACCAGAATTGCCCCCAGGTAGCTTAAAGAGCCCAAGGAAACTTACAGCTCTACTGTAAGAATATTATAATATATATAGATAAACAACTACATGAAAAATATGAATTAGGTAGGAACAGGCACTTTCAGAGTGGTATGGATATAGACAGAAGAGATGTATAGGGTAATAAACCATTCAGTTGGGTACAGAGCATTCAGGCCCTCTCTGGGTACACCTGACTCTGCCCACATTTCCATATAGCCATGTGGAAGGAAGTTCTGATCTCCGAACTCCATAGTCCAGGAGCTTTTACCCATGGGGTTGATTAATAACTGAGGCACCCCCTCTCCAATCTCCACCTCCTTGGGTTATGATTAGGAATGAAAGTACCTAACTTCTAGTTTGGTCTTTTTAGTTACACAGAGACACCAACCCAGAGTCATCTTGTTAGAATAAAAGTCATTTCTATCACCCTTTGAAACTTAGATGAACTTACAAGCTATATGTTACAAGTCAGAGTCAATAATCAAATGATAAAGTAATGATTCGCCTAGAACCTGGATTCCCGGGGAAATTGCAATGGGTCCAGAATGTGTGTGCTAAGAATTAGGGAAGAACAACAAATTATGCTTTCCTTATTATAAGTTATAATACTAGTAAAATACCACAGAAGTGATATTATTTGCCTGCCCTAATAAGGCACACCTTGCCTCCATATAAACATTATGTGGTTGTATTAGGAGCAGTGACTATTAGTTCCAACTATTTATTGCAGCTATTGCAATCTGCTGTTGCCTCTATTTAATTAAACAACCATCTGCTTTCTGCGGGGAAACAATAAATCATTTAATACAAAATGTACATTTGCCTACTCATGTTTGTTATTCTAGTGAAAGAAAAAGAGCATAAAAAAGTGAAGGAGAAAGTCAGCAGAGAGAAGAGGGAGGAAGAAATAAAGGAAGAAACAGTCTACCAGATGTCAGCCCTGTGAAGATGCTAATATCCATTCTGAATCCGCTTTGTAAGTTCCTCCCATTCTGTGGATTACTTTGCTCCATAAGTCAAAACATTTCAACCCACACACAAAGAGCATTGTGAACAGGGCCTCACATTACAGAGCTGATTAGGAGACAAGCTCCATGTCCCTCGGAGAGATGAAGTTCTTTTTAATTTTCAGGATAAAGATTTTTAAATGTCACTTTTCTAACTGCCATATGACTTACATATTTTTAAAGCGCACTTCATTTCCAACAGGCATTGTACCCAAAGTGTGGTGATCAAGGACAGACATCATTGTTAATAATTGTATAAATCCTGACAGCTTATATTTAAAAATGGCTTGTTGAGAATGTTAGCATTATATACAGAGCTGATTCTGGTCTAATGTTATATAAATGAAAGGAGTTTATTTAATCTTTTTTCCCCTTTTCTTTTTAACCCTGGCATCTTTAACAGGTAGCATTTTGTTAACACTTAATAAAGGCATGTCATAAACTGATCTTAACAAAAGAAAAAAAAAAAGCCTGTCCTGCATTCATAAATGAGGACAGTTTTGTTATTTGTCTTGATAAATTAAAAAAAAAAAAAAAAAAAAACCTCCCAAGAATTCTATGGGTTCAGAGTCGTGTGTTAAAGCATAACCAAATAGCACATTTAGCGATAGTCTGTGGTTCTGACATGAAGTGATCATAGCTCACTCTACAGCAATTTGTCACACAATTCTCCACAAATGCTCCAGTATAGGAAAGGTAAAGCTTCTCACCCTCTAGAAAATGACCTTTGAAGAGCAGCACGGTCTCTTGTTGGGTACAAGTTAACCCCATAGTGTGTTGCCAGCTCCTACCTCTTTCGTTCTGACAGACAGCCTTCAGGATGCGATGTCCTAGGCCACATTTCCCATGATCAGGGATACAGATGCCTTCCGAAGCAAGCCATCGGTAACACATTGGATCCTCACAAGGCATGGATTCTACCAGATGAGGGCAGTGCCCCGTGGGCCCTGTAGACTCCATGAGAACATGTCTCTGTCTCATTCTAAAGCCTGGAAGGAGAGAGAAAACAAGATTTTCAGTATTCCACCCTGACCCAGCAAAGGCAAAGGAGTAGCTGCTGGGCAGCAGATGACGCTTCCGCTTCCATGAGAACACTTGCAGCTCTGATGCAGGTGTTATCTTGATATGTTTTATTTATGAGATGGAGGGATATGAAATGGAAAGAGAAAGAGAAAATGTAGAAAAGAATAAGAGTCTAAAAAGCGTCTTCCAAGAGATGATGGACAGGCCAGATAGAATCAGATGAAATAATGAACAGGGTGCATCCAATGGTGTCCGTAATCCAGGAACTTCAGTGATGGCCCACAGCAGTAACTGCTCCCAGATACACCCACATTTTAATTTTGCTATCGCTTTCAGCATCCCTGTGGCTTTCCATTACACAGCACGCTTACATCTTTGCCCATGCCTAGTGCCTGACCATTCCCAGCTTCCTGCTTTGAGAGATCCCTGTTTAGCTTCTCTGAGATTTCCGCATCAGCATGTCCTCATAGACAGTGTCTCCAGGACATCATTCTTTGCCCTAACTGGCCATGGGTTCTCAAATTCCCACATGCAGACCCCATGTTAAGGACATAGGCACATCTTGAAATGCTGCCAAATCACAAACTACATGTTAATGGGAGTACGGTAGGTACATATTCTTAGGCTATTGCCATGAGAGAACATGAGCATTCTAATATAATATCTTCCTCTTGTGTCTAGATGCCAGAAATACAAGTTATACTTTGATTTTACACAGCATGTTTGTTTAACATAATTTAAGGTGACAATAACAACAACATGACTTTAAGAAGGAAAATGAATGAGTGAATGAGAACAATCTGAGATCCAGTAATGGTGTGACTTGCAATCCTTGGTCCTCTTTATATGTCACTCCGATGGGCACAGATCTCACCCACATCATCTTTCACCGTTATGTTCAAACCTGTCAACCCATCACCATGACCTTTCTGTTTCTTTTTCAAAGCTGGTTCTCATCTATCTTCAGCCTGGGCTCAAACTCACTTCGGCCTTCTCATGCTCCTGTCTCTATTTCCCAAGTGCTGGGATTATAGGCATGGGCCACCATGCCTGGTTTATGTGGTAATGGAGATCGATCCCAAGGCTTCCTCAATGTGAGGTGAATGTTCTACAAACTGAGCTACACCTCTAGCCAAAAGTCCTTTGATTTACTGCCAAAGGCCCATGTTTGAACTCTTAGTCCCAAGCTGGGAGTGCTGTGTGGGAGGAGGTAAAACCCTAGGAAGTGGAACTCTGTTGGAGGAAGTCATTCAGCCGAAGGAGGGCCTTGACACTTGATAACTTGGCCCTGTTCACTGCCTGCTTCCTGACTACAGATTTAATACGATTGGTCACCTTGGACTTCTGCGACCACTCTATCTCCATCAATATGGATTTTATCTTGTGAGCTGTAACATCAAACCAACCTTTTTCCTCCTTAATTTTTGTGAGGTATTTAATCATAGAAAGACAGAAAATTGATGGGGGATACCCTTCTGTATGTATGTTTCTCTTATTGGTTGATGTATAAAACTTGGATTGGCCAATAGCCAGTAGAGGCAGGAAGATAGGTGGAACTAAGAGATGAGGAGAATTCTGGGAAGGAGAGGCAGAGGAGGCTGTAAAGGATGCCATGTAGAGCCCAGGAAGGTAGATGCACCAGGTGTTCTCTAGTAATATAAGGTCATGTAGAAATACATAGATTAGTAGTTATGGGTTAATAATTAAGAGAAGGCTAGCTAATAAGAAGCCTTGCCATCCGCTAACAGTTTTATAATTAATATAGCCTGTATGTTTTTATTTGGGGCTAAAGGGCAGCACGACTTTGCCATACAGGAACTTCCATCATCAGAAAATAACTAATATACTACTTAGACTTCATTTAGACAATAGTGACTATTATGATGATACTAAAATTGCTAAGTTTACGGCTAATTAAAGTAATAACAACAATGGAGATTACTGCTCTGTTAGATCTCTAACTCCACATCATTAAATACTCAAAATACAGCCCACAGAAAGCTCAGCTTTGTAAATCTCAAGGAGAGCTAGGGGGCACACAGGGCACTGGACTACACTTGGCATAAATTAAGGACTTCTAAGCTCTTGCCGCCGCACGACTTGTATGACCTCTACTTTTACACATAACACCTGTGTCCTGCTTATTTTCTGGCATTTGTTTGTACTTGTTTAGCTCTTATCTTTGAACAAGAAATAGCATGATTTACGCTTTGACAACCAGCTTGGAGAACAGTACAGAAACCCAGCACTCTCTATGGAGGGATTTGGGTGTCCTGTTCCTGGAGCTTAAAGCTGAAGGGCTCATGTGCTTTCCTCTATAAATCATGTCGCATCCATTTTGCCATAAATCTATAGAGTGCATCTCCTCAGTCGATAAATTCTTTCAGGCTCTCTGTTGTGTGTGTGCTGCCCTTGTCCAGACTCTAAGTAGGATCAAATCACACCACAAGCTCAGCATAAAACACGCACTGTGGCTTCCTGTTCTGCTTAACTGACTCCCACACTGGCAACCATGCCTGCAGTAAACAATAGGGTTTTCCCAAGTGTTCAATTCCAAAAGATATATAACAGCCAAGCTCACCATGGCTGGGTCAGCCAATGTTTCACAATTATTAAGTTCGATGTTAGTCAAACCTTATTATTCAGTAAATATTAAATATCATTTGAATACTAATGTCCTGTATTGGACATAGCAAATGTCTAACTCTCACTGCATTATAACTCATAAAGGGGAAAGGGTGTGCACAGTAATTAACTATGACAGCAAGAGACAGTTGGCTTACATTACTCGGGACTGAAACCCCAGGCTTCTGTAAGGTTCTCTGCCCATTTTAGATATTTGCAAACAAAGGCCAGACTGCAATATGTTACTTCGCTGAGGGTGTATCACCTATAGGGTAGGTGGGCAGGAAGTTCACCACAGCCCTAACCTCGTAGACTTAGCTCCTGTCTGCAACGTGTTTTGGTCCCATTTCATAAGGTAAAGTTCAAAGCCATCATGTGTCAGTCCCTTAAACTAAAGTTAGAAAGTAGGCTTTGCGGCTCTGTCATTTCATGGCAGAGGTTCACCATGCCCCATTGATAGAACCACTATTGCCAGGGTTATATTATTGTTGTTGTCATTGTCATGAGCTCTGAGCCTCAGGTGTGTGGTTTAGTGTAACATTCTACTATAGGCAAACAGAACAGACTAAATAGTGGGTTGGGGAGAGTAAGGTCAGAAGAGAAGATGGCAGAAGAGTAGACAACATTTTTTAGATGAAGGCAGAGGAGAATTTAAGGAGGCTGATGGGAATATCGAAGTCTGAAGACTGCATTTCTACTGTGTCATGGAATAACAGTGTCCTTGTGAGCTTCCATGGAGCTATGGACGATACCACTGTTTCCATGCTAATTCATGGAGGTAGACTAGAAGGCATATCCAGCAGATTGCACGTGGATAGCACTGCACTTTCTGTTTGTCTCTGGCAGCTCTAGATGGTGGTTAAGGATACTCAGCCAAAGATCCTGATAAGACTGAAGGTGTGTGTACCTTGTTTTTTGAAACAGGTGTCTCATTGGTCTAGGACTCTTGGATGTTAAATTTACTGTCCAGGAAGTGGGTGTGTCTCTGGTAGCACAGAGGTGGGATTACAAAGGCACAACACTTGACTTATGTTACACGGTTTCTGGGCATTGAATTCACATCACTGTGCTTGTATGATACTGAATCAAGTATACCCCTTTCACCTAGACTGAGTCTTTGATTCCAGATCTTTAGATATCAAGCACAATTATTTCCCAGCCAGTTATAACTCAGAAATAAGCAGCCTTGCTAGGGTGCAGCAACCATGAAAACTTTCAAGACTTATCGTAAGAAGTGGATACAAGCTCGTTGGAGCCGATTCCCCATGGCAGATGCCATGCTCAGTCTTAATACATGGGAGAGGGGCCTGGCCATGCCCCAACCTATTGTGCCTGACTATGCTGACTCCTCATGGGAGCCCTTACCCACAAGGAGTGGACTTGGGGTGGTCCAGGGGAGGAAGTGAGGGAGCACTGGGAGAAAGCAAGGGAGGGGAGGAGGGAAAGCTAGGGCTGGAACGTAAAAAGGAATAAAAAAAAAAATGGGGAAAAAAGAGGTAGGTACAGCTTATTACCAGCCTCTGCACAGAGACACACAAAAATAGAAAAAGAAAAAATTATCTGCTAACATGAATATTATTTGTAATAAAGCCAAATGATTTTATAGAATTCATGTAAATGTAACATTAGAGCCAACCCAGCAAGCAACGATGGAAAAGGGAAATATTTCCACTGCAAAATTAGATTTCAGGTATGTCAGTGATTTCTGACCTCAGTTTGCTTGTCCATGTTAATTTTTCAGGATGGAAAAGATGTCTTTAGGAATAGCCCTAGAGTCTCAATTTAAAAACATCTTTTCCTGTAGGGACATTGGAGAATCTTCTGTGCTGTGTTAGGGGAACTGTATTGGAGCAGGGGAGGAAGCCTTGAAGTCTTTTAGAGAGGCTGGTACCTATTAGGGATGCCACAAATAGAGGTCTCCATGAAACTCCTCTTCAGCTGGTTGCCTTCGTAGAACTTGTCTGCAAGGGACCAGGGGGTCAGGCAAATCTATGATGTGTGGAGAGGAATTTTTTTTTTTTTTTTAACTACATCACATCTATGTGTGGGGCTTACTCATCAGCATTTTCTTCCGGCAGATTCTCTTTTGTATTTCTGTAATTATAACACTGTGGACTATCTCGGAGATAAAGCAATAAACGATACAACCTGATCCTATTTAAATTCCTCTGGAAGGTGTCCCAGCCTCACTTGACAAGCACCAACCTGCCAAGCGCTGCTCGCCTTGTCTGCCTGTCACGGATGTGATGGAAGGGCGTAGAGCCCGTGAATGTTGACTGATTTTCTAATGCATTCTTAGTAGCTGACAGCCATGAGCCTTAGATGACGCCTGATTGAGAGGTGCCTGATGGAGAACAACAGCCATAGAAAGATAATTTCTCTAAGAATTTACTCTATTAGCTAACAAAACATTCTCTACCATCTACTTCCCCCATTCCAGTCTACTGTTTTTTTTTTTCATGTGAATAAAGAGAATAGAATGAAATAAGAAGGCTTGTGATAAGAAGGATGTGTGCGTGGGAAAAGGGCCTCCATCTTTCCACATCTCTTCCCTCCTTGTTTGCTTGATTTTCCCTCAATTCTTCTACTTTTCTTTCTCTAAAATACATACACATGTGTGTAACTATTAAAGAGATTATCTACATAAATACATACCTGTGTATGTAATGTATGAATGAGGCTATAAGGTATCCAGGAATTTTTCTATGTTTTAGATTTTTGCCAATGAGTTGATTGGATTTCTTGAGTAGGGAATTCAGAGAGGGAAGTGCAGCCCTTACTTCTGTCCCAGGCTTTTTTCAACACATAGTACACATGCTGTGTGTCCAGCCTCTGTGGAATCCTAAATCATATTTACTTTGTACCAATCAGGACTCTGGCTCAGTCCTCACAGGATCATGGGCTAGAAATAGAGGATGAGAAGAACACAGAGCTTGTCCTCACCACTTGGTAGAAATAACAAGACAATTGTTGCAATCACCATCACACACTTGGTCTGCCTGTAGGCACAGAGTCATTTCCCCAGAGTGGGAGTTCTATTCTGTATTTTCCCCAAGAGGAATTAGAGGCAGGTGGTCCTGCCAGGTTCCAGCAAGACCTAGAGGACTGATTTCTCTCTGCTTTGGGGAATTCTTTTAAAACAGCAAACTGCCAGCCCTGAATTACAATTACAAAAGAGGCTCCTTTTCTCTGCCTGTGGTTACTTAGCTCCTGGGAAGAGAAGCCATCTTCCAGGTCTGTCCTGAAATCACCTTGGTTTGGTCTGGACTCTATAAAAGCAAAGGTACTAATAGCAACTCCAACATGTCCCCAAAGGCTCCAAGACTCTTCCACCCTCAGGTCATAATTCCCACGGCCCCTACCTAATCTTGCATAACCCAAGACCAAGCCTTTGTAGGAAACAGTTGCTTGGGGCAAAATGCACACTCAGCAGCTACCTGTTCCGCTCCATGTCTACCCATGCCTGGGATTGTAGGGCCCTTTTTTCATCTGATGATATTGCAGTTGCACTAAGCCTGGTGATCCACAGCAGCCCAAGGATTCATTCTCAGGGGGTCATGGTTCACCTGGATACTCCAGGGCACAGCTGGAAGATGACTTCTCTCCTCAGCACTGGATTTGTACCTTGGTCCAAATGTCTTTTGGGGGCTTATGAAGAAAATGACCAATGGATCTCTGAGTTTGGAAAGACACTGCACTTGGCAAAAGGGAGCTCAGGGATCAGGCCCTGGCTTAGCTATTGTGGCTGTCGTTATCGTTGATGTTTATCTGTTAGTATATGAACCTGTATTATGTATTATCCTCCTGTGGTCTTTGATGGAGTTGAAGACAGATAGTTAGGTTATAGCTTTCCTTAGTTAGGATTAAAGATAAGTTACATAGACTTTAGACTCACAAAGATAAAATAGATGATGAAGTATTTTCTTAAATCTTACTAAATGTTAATGGACTAAATATTGTTAACTGTGATTCTTATTTGATAACTGTTCTGTTATATATTTTGCTTTGTTAAGGTTAAAACCCTTCTTTTTATTTAGACAGAAAAGAGGAGATGATGGGAGATGTCATTCTGTAAATATGTTTCTCATACTGGTTAATGAATAAAGCACTGTTGGCCAATAGGAAAGCAAGATAGGAAGATATGCGGGACTAGGAGACAAGGAGGAGAGAGGAAGTAATAAGGAGGAGTCAACATGGAGAGAACCGGGGAGAGCAGAACGCCAGCCCCTCTCCGCTAAAATGAGACCACGTGGAAATACTTAGATTAATAGAAATGGGTTAATACTTAAGACAGAGGTAGCCGATAAGAAACAAGTAACAGGCCAACAGCGTTATATCAAATACAGAGTCTCTGTGTGTTATTTGGGGCTGGCGTGGCGGTGGAACTGGCAGGGGGGGGGGGAGGAACTACTCCCTACATATACAAGTACATGCATGGGAGCATTTACATGGAGAACAGAATAAGGGCCAGTGAGAAGAAAGTTCTACACAAAGGGATGTTGAGGGAGTCCACAAAGGAGAAAGAGCTACAGGTTTCTCCAGTGACTTTTGTCTGAGTTATATGTTGAAGGAGGAGTGGGATAAAATTTAAGAAGCTAGTTCTTCATAGTGTCCTATGAAAATTTTAGCTCAACACAGAAAGCAACACCGAAATCGGGAGGGGGAGGAATGCACCAAATTGCTATAAAGAAGCCAATGGACAAGAACAAGAAACATATTATCTATCGAGTAACCATCTACAAAGTGTGGCCCCAGAATCTCTTTTGCTATATCAAAGTACCCTGAAGGAGGCTCTTTCTGCCCCCTCAGGCTGTGAATGTTAAAAGTAGCCTAACCACTTTGCATTCTGGGAACTTAAGCTTAGAACCTAACCCCTTAAGCCCTATCCTTTGGTCATGGAGTGTTCAGGAATGAGTGCTCAACCTTCCTGAGCAGACATGATGATCCTCCCTAGAGCTCTTCCTGGGACTACTGGAGAATTTCTCTACTACATCACTTATCATCTTAGTTAAAACCCATCGCTGAGCTTTGGTCTATGGAGATGGCTTCTCAAACTCAACACACTGTGGAGAATGATGGAATGAGAAGACAGCAACTTGGAGAACTGAGAAGTAGAAAGATTGAAAGGAGAAGGTTGTGAGCACCTGCCACTGTTTGGACTGTTGAATGCCATCCTGGAGGCCATTCCGTATGAGTCGGTAAGTCTCCTTTTTGGTCGGAAACAAACATGAACTGGGCTCATGTCACCTACACCTATTTGGTGTGTTGAGAACTCTACATCTTTGAAAGCAAAGGAGAATGGCACTCCGTGTAATCAAAATTTATCTGCATGCAAATCCCTGACCAGAGCAGCTGCAGCTAGTTTATCTTAGAAGACCAGGAAGTAGGAAGTAAAATGAGAAATGTGACAGGTCTAAGTCCTCAAACGTGTGTCCCCGGTCTGTCCTAGCTATTCCTCTCACCTCCAAGGTTCTACAGCACCCAGAAACAGTACTTCCAACTGTCCAGGCAGTGTCTGAACACACGGACATGTGACAATATTCATTTCATACAGGGGATTATTCAGCCTTCCATGACCTGTTGAGACACTGCTTTCTATACGTTGATGAAAACCAAGTCAAAGTTAGCATCCTCCTGTCTCAGATTCACTACTATCTTTCCTCTTCCCTTGCAGGAAGACTCAGAGCAAAATGAAATCCCTATAAGCCTGTGCCATGAACAAGGGCATGTGTGTGCCTGGAGTAAGCTGCAGATGACAATCATGGGAAATTCTAGTGGATCTGTGGCACTGTCTTGCATAGGCAGGGGGTACAAGGGTCACTGCACTCCACAGTTGGAGTTGCTGTTTCTCTGCATGTAAAGTAAGATTATAGCTGAGCAAACACAACCTACCATCTGGGAAACCATCAGAGCTTATTTTCCTTCATATTAATAAAAGAAACATTTCTTTTTAGCACAACATGCAAGGAGGAAGATGCTAATGGAAACTAAAAAGTCAGTGAAGGATGGCAAGATGCCTCTGGACTTTTGGGGGTGGAGATGGACATTTTGAAAACAAAAATGGGGGGAAACAGGATTGTAAAGCCTACCTAAATTAAAAAAAAAAATGAAGATGTTACTTTAAGCCTGAAGACAATAAACACTAACCAATAAGCACACACATATATAGTGTTATTAAAATATAAAGCCAAATGCTTAGTGTAAAAAAAATAATTGGTTTCTGGTGTGATTACATGAATCATGTCTACCTGCTTCAGTGTAACTGTCACTTATAAGAAAAAGTAAGCTAGATTTTTTTTTTTTTTTGAGACATCATGTCATTCAGTCCAGGCTAACCTCAAATTCACTATGTAGCCAAGAATGACCTGAAAATTCCAATCCTCCCATCTTTACTACCCCAGACAAAGGAATGTACCAGAAAGCCTGGCTTGATGTGGTACTGCAAATGGAATCCAGGGCTCTGTGCACACTAGGCTAGCATGCACCCACTAGGCTGCGTTAGTAGGACCAACATTATTCCCAGCTGAATAATAGTCACTTATTCAGCTATGAGTTTAATGTGAGAGTCAATCAAGGTCAGATTCCGTGCTCCACAGAAAATGTCCTTAGCTGTCTCCCTAATAAGTAAATGCCGCCAACCCTGAGCCAGTTATCTAAATACAAACAAATGCTCTTAAGCTGGCTTAGTCTGCAGCAGAGTAAGCTTACACTGGAAGTGAATGAGGTAAGCACTCACCTTTCTTCCCCTGAGGATCATGGCAGTTTTCATGAACACACGGGCCCCAGGATGACCAGGAGGACACAATGCAGGCTGTGGAGCAAGGCACATTGCAGAGCTGGGAGGCCGAGGGGGCAGGTCCCAAACATAATGGACTTTCCACTGGTCTAGAAACTAAAGGACAAAAACATAAATGCCTATGTCGCATTCTTCGGACTTTCCTAAAATCTCCTTACCAGGCCTATGACCTTAAAGAGTACAGGCAATCAGGGCAAACGTTTTATGATACAAATGTGTAGTTCTACATCATTAGCCTTTAGGGTGAGCAAAGAAAAAGACAGAGAGATAGAGGGCATGCACTTGAGATTCCTTCCTTGTGAAGCACTCCCGGGGAATTCGAGAGAGGAGTGGAAATATCACAGACACAAATTATCCAGAGGTATGATTTAAAGCAGAATTAAATGGCTTGGTGAAGTTTCAAGACGAGTCTATCTTAACAATATGAATGACTGGGTCACCGTGAAAAACATCAGAATGGAACCCCTAAGGTGCAGTGTTTAGCATAACCAATCTAGTGCTGTGCCTCCCCGGAGGGGTGGAGCTGGCAAAGACAGAAGAAAAATGGCTCTTCAAATAAGAAGAAAAATTGGACCCTGACCGCAGTTCTGGCTTGAGAAAGCAGTTTCCTATCTGGGTTACCCAGAGGTTCAGTGCTCAGAGGGAGAAGAACTTCCAGGTGTGTAGATCAGGGCCTGAGCTGGGCCCCCTTAGGGTGCAGCCACTATTTGTCCTTCTACGATATTCACTGTCCTCTGGCTGTAGTTTCTCAGCACCACAGCAACACAAGAGACAGAGGAAACCACATGTTGCTGCCTTTGTGTAAAATTAACAATGGAGACAGGAGTCCCTGAAAGCAATGTGCTAAAGACACATGTCCGGGTCTACTGTGGTAGTATTTACTGTAGATGAGTTGTAGAGTTGACCCGTGTGTCCATCCACAGAAGAGCGGTGAAAGGCGGGTTCCAAGGAAAGGGGATTAGGGAGCAGAGCCTAAGACAGGTGAGCAGGGAATGGTGGAACATGGAGGGATTAGTGAGGTGGGAGCGGCGGGAAGGGTAGGGTAGAGGAGGGCGTATAGGAAAGGAAGACTTAAGGTCCTTTGAAAATGCCATATGGGGACTTACTACTGCAGAAATGCCTGAAAATATATACATATTCATAGGTAAAAAGGGTTCTGTAAACAATCCCAAACATTGAAGACTGTTGCCATCGCTTTTGTTTACCCTCCAGAATGTGATAGGAAGCCCCGTCGATGAAGATACCGCATACTTAGTCATGGCACATGGATAAATCAAGCTGATATCAACCTGAAAGCTTCATCCCTACTGGCTAGCTTTCATTGTGGTGGAAGGTACTGGGCACATCACCAGGGGAGCAAAGTTGTCATCAGTCTACCCAGTGTGAACCATGTGAGCCATATTAAAAGCAGTAAGTTGTAAAAGCAAGGAGGTGGTATTTAGAAAGAGAAGACTGTCTAGCAGATTGGAGGGAGGGGGCAAATGTAATCCTAGCCTATGAGAAGCATGCATTCAAGCCTCATACCATGAATATGTACTAATCCTTAAAATATACATCAGAAGGAACATCCAAATGTGAAACTGTTTACTTTTCCTACAAAGAGTTGCCTCAAATCGAGCAAGTTTTGAGAGATTCCAAATTTTCTGGGTAGTAGCTTCAGTTGGGGAAGCTACTGACTGGCTTGTACTGTTTTGTGAATATTCCCTGTGTGTCATTGCGATCCAGCTGAACAGATTGAAAATGCCTCAAAGGTGGGAAGTGTCGTGAGGGGACTGGGTGGCGAGTCTCGATACCTCATTTGCTTCCTTGCTGTCTGGGTATTGAAGAATCAGATGTAGTGAAGGTTGCAATCTGTCACAACTCTGAGCAGGGGAGCTTCAAATCAGAACCCAGCCAACAGAAACAGAAAATAAATACCGTCACAGAAAAAGACACAGGCTTGTGAGTCGGGGTGGGGGTCCCTGATGAGCAAAGCCTCAGTCTAAATCGCTTATGAAAGGAGTGTGAAGACAACGCTGATAATTTATTTGCAATTAACTATTTTAAAGTTTATGGAACTGGTTTGATTTGACTTAAAATGAAAGCCAAGTTAGACTGCCAGTGTGAGTGTGAAAGCACGCACTTCAGGGAGTAGGGACAGGGAAAGGAGGAGAGGGCAGATACTGGAGGAGTTAGTGAATCTGTCCCGGGATACCGATGAGGGGAAAGGATAAACGGGGATCATACCACAGTTGTCAGTGGGATATGAACCAAATTAGAGATGGATCTTTGTGATGGCTGGATTCAGAGTAAGGCAAGCTACACCGATACACATCCACTGAGTAAATGACTCAACCATTCTAAGCTACCGAGTCACCGTTTAAATCAGCCACTCTTAGGTACTGTCTGTGTTCAAGGAATTCTCTACCAACAAGATTGGGTCTGGCAACAGCTTAACAGACACCAGGAGGAGAGGCATCTGAGCACCCCATAAATAAACAACAACAAAGCCGGATGTCTTAATGTAGAAGTGTGCCTGGCACCCATGTGTGTTGGCATTTAATGGACAAGCAGAAAAAGAAACTCCAGCAACAGATCAGAAGGAAGTGGGCGTGGTGCCTGATTAGTCTAATCATTTACTAAACATTCATGATGCATGCCAAGCATGGGTTATATATAATATCAAAAAAGATACTGATACATTTAGTCTGAATAGCTTCTCTTTGAGGTACATGTTCTTAATACCTCTAGTTTTAAAATAAAAGAACTACACTATAGAAATGTTAGCTCAAAGTGCAGAATTCTGTTTCCAGGACTCACTTGGCTGCCTTTTAACCCCCTATATCTCTAGCTCTAAGCAATCTGGCCCCTTCTTCTGGCCTCTATGGGCTTTGTATGCTACGCAGGCACACAGAGACATAATTAAAAATAATAAAAGTCACTCTAAAACAATCTTAGCTCACTTGCCCACAGAACTAGATAGGGAATGGTGGAGACAAGATCTGGAACCAGACAGTCTGGCTTCTGAATTTATTCTATGAACCACTTCATCAGGTGATGTTTTTACTTGAAATGCCTAAGGTGTGTATAAGATGCTCTTTGAGTAGCCCTGGGCTGACCATGCTCTCCTGCACAGCTTGCCTATCACCCTGAAGAATAGCTAGTGAATGGGTTAGAAATTCAACATCATGATAGAAGAGAAGAACTGGCCAAAAAAAAAAAAAAGCCTGAAGTGTATCCCAGTGGCCTTAACAAGGTATCCTTGAATGCCATGCCATGTGCCCCAGTGTACAGAACCCAGAGTGACCACTTTCTGGTAAGGCTCACAGAGTTCAGTACACAGGCATGTGCTTTCTGTACCTTGGGAGACTGGGTCAGGACAAAATAGACTTTATATGTTCTTTGCTACCTGTTAGTAAGGAACACATCTCCTTCTTGAAATAGGCTGTATGCAAGTGAGTTTTGTATATCTGTACGTCTGTATATCGACTCAGAAAAGTTGATAATTGGTGCAGGGACCCACATCACACCTTGTGTCAGCACCATGTTCTTGATGGAGAACTGACAATGAGTAGTCAAGCAGGCCAAGACTTTTACCTCATAGAACCACATTGCATTGGCATTGGATCCAAACTGCACAGAGATCCAGGAGCCCCAACAAGAAGTCAAGGGTGTGTTTTTTGACCTCTTTCTATTGCCATGTTTCCCTCATTTCCACACCAGCCAGATGAAGTACCAGATGCAGTACCAAGCATCTCAGCACTAAGTCTGTCACATCTCTGCATCTGATGATTGACACAGTAGCTGACACTACTCAATCCACCAGCAAAGTATCTATCTGGCACATGGTGAGATCCTGCTAAACCTCAAGTGAAGCTACCAGAATGCCTGGCAGGAACAGCTCTTAGGCTGAAGTGCAGTTAGAAAGAGGCAGGGGGAAAAGGCCCTGAGACAGAATCTGCCAGGACACCACCTCCACACTTAAGCTAGACTTGTTTGTTTTGTTTTAAAGAGAAGTTGAGGATAAGCAAGTGGTTACGGGTTAAGTCCCCCCATGTCCTCTTGCATAAATACTTAATTAGTAGACTGTTAGACTGTGAAAGTAATGTAAGATATGAAATTAGAGACAGTCACTATTACCTGGCAAAGAGGAGGGAATAATTTCCTTGGGGACTCCAGACTGACATATTAGAGACCCAGGGATAGGGTGAAGCCATTTGTCAAAGCAGTCATTTTTCTTCAGCACCTGCTGCTTTGATGGACAATGGATCTTAATCCATATCAATAAATTCTTCCTGCCATGGTGACATGTCTCAGATATTTCACTTAGGCACTGAATCGATGTGCCTGGGCCAACTCAGTTCTTCCATGACCCTAAGTCACACCCCCAGGACACATTTTCTCCAGAAATAAATCATGAATACATCACAAAGCACTTAGCAGCTTCAGAACATTGGAGAAGGGTGAACACAGGCTGCTTCTGCACCTATTGACTGTGAGTCCTGGATGTCAGCTTTAGGGCTAACTGAGCTTAATTAATCAATTTGACTGAAAAACTAAGCTCCAAAGGCTCAGGAGGTTTGTGCAATTTTATTCTCAAATCCAGAGGATAGCAAGACCTGAGCCTTAGGCTAGGAAGCAAACCTACTTCCACCTTTCATTTTCTTCCTGTAAAAATGAAGGCACCTGTCAAGACAGATGTGGCCCTTTGCACCAGGATAGCTTCTGTATGAATCACAGTAGCTAGAGCTATGACAGATACAAGGAACCCATGAATGCTCTGGGCCCAATTTAACCCTTTAAATTAGACCCAAACCTTTCTTTACATCACTACCTCAGAATTCTAACCTATGCCCACTGGAAAGGAGATACCAAATCCCAAAATTATTCTGTCCCAGAAGACTGTTCCCTTTTAGTCTTTACTCATGAGTATGGATATTCTGATTATGCTATTTTAGGGCGTGGGGTGGAGACATTGTTTGCTGGAGCTGGGTGATGTGTGGTCCATATATATGTTACCGAGCTTTCATTTATCTTGGGTCAAAATCCAACTAGAGTGCTTGAAGTAAGAATTGCTGTTTTCCTGGTCAATGCACTCTTTCCTCTGAAATGACTAT